GGGGAGAGGTGAGGAGGTGGGGGAGGGGGAGAGGTGAGGAGGTGGGGGAGGGGAGGGAGGTGGGGAGGAGGTCGTGCAGGAGGACGTGGGGGAGGAGGGGGGGGGGAAGGGGGAGGTGAGGAGGTGGGGGAGGGGGAGGAGGAAGAGGGGGCCAAGTCATGTGGCCCTGGAGGGCCACTCTAACAACCTTGGACTTTACCCCGAGTAAGACGGGAGGCTGCCAGGAAGAAGCACGGGCAGTGCTGGGGACAGCTGGGGGCTCCTTCCACAACCCGGAGAGGGCCTGGTTTAGGCCACGGTGGCAGAGTAAAAAGGATGTGAGGACAGGCTGGATGTGAGCTCTGAGAATGGAGGGGTCGAGGCTGGCTCCAAGGTTCCAGTGTGAGCCAGACGCGATGGAAGTGCTGTCCGCCACTGAGACCAGGAAGACGGGGGAGTGGGTTTGCGGAGGAGTTGGGTAAGACAACGAGTTCAGACTTCCACATGCTGAGACACCTTACAGACCCAAGAGGGGACGTCTGACAGGCTCCCGGGTCCAAGGCTCTGGGGCTGGCGAGGGGATCCAGCTGGGAGTCATCGGTACACACGGGGGTCCTCAAACAAGGTCACCAAGTCAGCGAGCAGTCCCAACAAGGAGGATGAGGGGCGGCTGTGAGCCTGGGAGGAGCCAGGCGTGCGTGGTGTCATGGGAGCCGCCTGGGGCCCTACGCCGGGAAGGAAGGGCAGCCTGTGGCACACGTGGTGAGAGGTGGGGGTGAGCACCAGACGCTGTCAGGGGCTCAGGCAGCCCCATGGGGTCACCTGGAGACCCTGGCCAGAAGCCTGCCAGGGATTGCTGGGGCAAAACCAGCCCGGAGGCCGCTCACGAGACCGGGAGGTGGCCATCTCGAAGAGGGTGCCCCGAGGGTGCTGTCCAGTTGCCACCTAGAAGGTCACGGCATGCACACCGTGAGTGGACAGGGGGGCAGGGCGCAGACACTCCTCCCCGGCAGCTGAGCCTTGAAGGAAGGAGAGAGGGGTGCGGGCCGGGGTGGGGGGGTGAGAAAAGAAACTCCGAAGGCTGCCACACCCAGAATGCCGCTTGTGGACAAGAGTGAGATGTGAATGTTTACGGGATTTCCGCCCAGACAGAGGAGATGCTCGCTCGGCCAACAGCTACCGCCGGTGCCCCCCACGGGCCAGGAGCTCTTCCAGGCGCTGGGAGGGCAACAACCGCCCCGACACGGCCCCTCACTGAGGACCAGCGTCCCAAGGGGGCATCTGACAGAAAAAGCGCCAGAGGGTGACCGAAGCCAGAAAGAAAACCCCAGGGCGAGTGCCAGAGCGCAGGGGCCGCAGGGCCGGATCCGGCTCAGGGCGATGGCCTGGGGCCACGTGCGCAACGACATGTCGGCAGTGCTCTGGCCCAGCCGGCTGGTGGAGCGCTAGGAGGCCGGCTCCCATGTGCAGAGACCTGGGAGGGACACAGGATGGGGCGGGGAGCCGGGGGAGGTCTGGCTCAGATTGGGCAGGGCTGTCATGACGGGAAAGGGGACGAGGCCAGGCCCCAGGGGCTGCGTGTGGTGGCAGGGGAAGGCTGGCTCTGTGGACAGTGAGACCATGGACCCAGCTGGGGGTTTTCTCCCCTCGGCCACATTCTGCGTGATAGTCCAGTTACCAAACTACTCAGCAATATTTAGTTGTTAACTATTGGTTAGTAGTGATTGAAACACGGAATAATTCTGGTTTTCAAAAGGTTGTAAAAAACGTACACCTGAAAATAACCAACTGTTACCCTGGTGGAAACTGCTTGGCCAGGTTCAGGTCAGCATCAAACATTCCACCTCAGCCTGCCCGAGGCCGCCCGTCTTCCCACCCCGCCCCCCGGTCCTGTCGCCAGCCAGGCACTCAGTGGCCCCTGCCCCCTTTGCAGGGCTCTGGGGACGTCCGAGCTGCCTTGCTGCAGTGGGACCGTGAGCCTTCTGTGTCAGGGTTGCCAAGGCTTAAACTCAACCCACACGGCTCCTCCCTTAAACACGCCTCCCCGGCCACCCCCAAACGAGTGCGCTGAAACCCTGTGTCCCTCGTTTGATGCCTCCTGCCACCAAGCGTGTGACCAGGACGGGGCCTCACCCGTCTCTCCATGAGGCCGCCCCGCTGTCATGCACCATCGGGGACCCCCTCTCCAGGGTTTGTTCCGAGAGTTCCAAGAGCGCAGATGTCACGTGCTCAGTGAGCATGGTTGTTACAGACCCGGCCGGAAGCCAGGGGCCCGAGGCGTGTGTGGTGGCCACACGGCTCCCCCACCAGCTCTGCCACCACCTGCCCAGGGCTGGGCGTCAGCGCCAGCTCCAACAGCCCACCCCTTACAGAGAAATGGAGGTTAGAAATTCCTTTCCTCTCCAGACTTGAAATCTGTTTAAAACACTAACCATACTTAAAAACACAAGCAGCGAGCAGGGACCCCTCATGTCAACCCACGTCTCTCCGGGAGGGCCCGGCGCGGAGGACGCAAGGACAGGACATGCCACCAGGTCGCCTTCGTTTGGTCAAACGTCCCTCCAGCGACAGTGAGAGAGAGGGGAGCACGAAGCCAGGAAGACGCGCGGCACACACTTCAGAGAGGGGCCCGCAGCCGAGCTCTGGGTGTGTGGGGCTCTGGAAGCCAAGGCCACGTGCGGGCTCTTTCAGCTGAGAACAAGCACTGCCCTGAAGGTGTGACGAGGCTGCAGCCTGAGAAGAAGGCAATCATGACGCAAGCAGCTGCGGACCAGAGACGGCCAGCGTCTGAGGGAGGGACTGGCTCACTCGGGAAATCACAAGACCTAAAGTAGAAAGAGGTTAGGCCCCAGCCACGGCCACCACCTGGGACACAGCATAATCAGATACTTGTCTCAAAAGTCCAAACACTTTATGCTACCAGCGTTTCTCAAATTTGAGAACATGTGATTCCACCAAGCCAGGCTGAGGCCAAGTTTGTAAAACCGCACTGAAAGTTATAACTTTAGCATGTAACTGGCACACAAACTTTCTACAAGTACAAAGCCAGGATTTGAAATTGCAGGGCAGTACTTGGTCAACAAGACCGTCACCACATTAAAAGCAGCAGATTTTTTCAAAGACACAGGAGAATCTGCCTCCAGGCCCAGCTGGGAGCAACAGCCACACTCCCAGCCTGTCACATGTGACGAGGAGGGGACAGCTGGGAGAGGGGTTGGGGAGCCAGGATGAGGCTCCAGGTGAGCCCAGAGGTGGGTGGGTCCAGGTGAGCTCAAGGGGAGGAATCAGGGTCCAAAGCAGGTTTCCAGCGACGATGCCAGGTCCCTCCCCTGTGCTGAGCGAACTCCCACCTGACCTGGACGGTGACAAAGAAGGCCTCTAAAATATGATTTTCCTTCAGCTATCCAAAGGAAAAAACAGAAATAAAAACTCCAAAAACGAATGGGATAACTAGCAAAGTAACTTGGAGAATAAACACAAATTGCTTTTATAATCAGAAAAAACTTCTAAAAACATAATTAGAACAGGGTTTCCAGTTGACGACGGTGGGTCATGCACTCGAGTTTCCACTTCTCCTTCCCTGAGGCCTGAGGGGCACGACCCACAACCCCACACACTGCAGGGAAAGGTGCCAGCCAGGGCCGGAGCACCCTGGACACGCCCGCTGCGGTAAGAACAAGTTCCCCACAGCAAGGTGCAGACCAGTGGTTCTCATGGGGACCACCTGCGCCCCCAGCCCAGGACAAGCGGCAAAGCTAGAGGCACCCAGAGGCGTGCTCCTCAGCATCCTACAGCTCCCGCCGCCAAGACGCATCCAAACGTCCACAGGCCCCGGGGCGAGTAGGGGCTCCGGGGGGAGAGGGCCCGGGTTAGGGCACGCCAGGAGCCAGGGTGCGCCGGGAGCCGCAGCCGAGGGCCGCTCCACCCTCTGGCCACTCTGCCAGGAGAGCAGAGCAGAAGAGCTTACCAGCCCTGAGGCTGTGACGAGGCTGCCCAGCCCTCCAACAGGGAGGAGTCCTCATCCTGTGTGAAGGGGACTTGCCCGCTGCACGCTTGTCCCTGCTACCCTGCAGGAGGAGCTGCCTTCGGACTAGAGAAGCACAACCTATGCCTTCCAGAACGCCCACCCTCAGCCCTCACCCCCTGCCCCCCTGCCCTGTCCCCCCACGCCCCCTGCCTCTGGACTCCCTCCAGACCATGAACAGCACAGCTCCCGAGCCAACAGCTCTTCCCATGTTCCTGGTGAAACTTCCTCATTATCCAGTAGGAATTACTCCTGATAAAAATGTTAACTCAGCAGTGACACACATGTCAAGAGAACAGAGGAATTATCCTGTGGTATCTAAATAATCTGTGAGGGAAAACGGAGATAGTACCTTGCAAAAATTCTACTTTTTAAAATCATTCCAGAAAAGAAGTAAAATTGCTTTATTTGGCAAAGCTCACTTGAAATGATACTATAATATTTCTTGGGACTTCCCTGG